GTAAAAAATAACCAAACACTGTACGTGATAAGTCATAATCTTTAAAGATACAGGATTTGTCATAAAAGTAATGGCTTTAAAAACTGGATTATATTCCAGGTAACATCGACCTTCAACGGATATACATTCAGACATGCTAGTGCCAGATAAAGTGGCTAATGCCTGTAATCTCAGCTAGTTCAGAGGCTTAAGCAGGAGGATTGCTTGAAGACTGGAGTTTGAGACCAGCCTGGGCAACATAGCAAGACCCTGTCTCTAAAAACATTTCTTTAATTAGCTGGGCATGGTAGCATTCACCTGTAACCTGCTACTTGGGAAGCTGAGGTAGGAGGATTAGTTGATCCCAGAAGTTCAAGTGAGCTATGATCACACTACTTGACTGCAGCCTGGGCAACAGGGCGAGGCCCTTTTTCTAAAAAAACTAAAAAATGAATAAATAAACATGCTAAAGTAGTCCTTGATTTAAAAAAACAAAACAAAACCAACTAAATACAAAGAAAACTCCACAGGCTTTCCCCAATATCAGTTTAATTCAGAAATTTAGTGTTAGCCCACCAAAAAACTTTTCAGTGAAATGTTGATTATTAGCAAATTTGTCTGATTTCAGGGAGAAGGGTCTTGTCTCTGTGATTAGAATATTCATGAGCAACCAAATGGCCAGTAAGTTAATATCAGAACCTAGCTGAATGTCTGGAAAACCTTCAAGTTAGAAAATCATTCATGGGTGCTCATTTGTGTAGCACATATACTAAAATTGGAAAGATACAGAAAAAATTAACACAGCCCCTGCACAAGAATGACATGCAAATTCAGGAAGCATTTCATATTTTTCTGAATGAGAAATTTAACAAAGAGATACATATTATAAAAAAGAACTAAACAGAAATTTTAGAGCTGAAGAATTCAATGACTGAAATAAAAAATACAATGGAAAGATTCAATAATTGACTAGATCAACCAAAAGAAAGAATTTTTAAACTTGAAGATGAGTATTTTGAAATAACCCAGTCAGAAAAAAAGAAAAACAAAGTAAAAAAGAATTAAGAATGCTTACAGGACTTATTGGGACACCACTAAGTGAGCAAATATTCACAGTGTGAGAATTTCAGGAAAGGCATAGAAAACCTATTTAATGAAATAATAGCTGAAAACTATGCATGTCTTGGAAGAAACATGGATATCTAGATTCAGGAAACTCAAAAGCCCAAATACATTAAGTTCAAAGAGGTCCTCTCCAAATCATGTTATAGTCAAAGTGTCAAAAGTCAAAGACAAAGAATTCCCACAATAGCAAGAGAAAAGTGTTAAGTCACAGATAAGGGAATCCCCATTTAGCTAGCATTAGATTTCTCAGCAGACACCTTATAAGCTAGGAAAGAATGAGATGATAAATTCAAAGCACTGAAAGAAAAAAAAAGATGTTAGCCAAGAATACTATACCCAGAAAATCTATACTTCAGAAATGAAGGGGAAATAATGTCTTTCCCAGACAAACAAAAACAGGAAATTCATCACCACTAGACCAGCACTACAAAAAATTATTAAAGAAGTCCTACACATGGAAGCAAAAAGATGATAATTCTACCATCATAAAAACATGCAAAAGTATGAAACTCACTCATAGAGCAGACAGACAAATGATTAAGGGAAAGGAATTCAATCTTATCATGTCAGGACACCACCAAACTGCAAAGATAAATCATGAGAGAGGAAAAACAGAAACAAAGGATATACAAAACAATGAGAAAACAAACAGGATGACAAGATTAAGTCCTCACCTAACAATAATAACCTTGAATGTGAGTAGATTAAATTCCCTAATTAAAAGATATAAACTGGCTGAATGGTTAAAAATGAAGACCCAACTATATGCTGCCTACAATAAACTCACTTTACCTATGAAGATACACACAGACTGAAAGTGAAGGAATGAAACTATATATTCCATACAAACAGAAACCCAAAATAAGCAGGAGTACTGATGTGTTTTGGCTGTATCCCCACCCAAATCTCATCTTGAATTATAGTTCTTATAATTCCCACATCTTGGGAGGGACCTGGTGGAAGGTAATTGAATCATGGGGGTAGTTTCCCCTATGCTATTCTCATAAGAGTAAGTTCTTACAAGATCTGATGGTTTTATAAGGGTCTTCCCCCTTTGCTTGGCTCTCATTCTTCTTGCTGTTGCCATGTGAAGAAGGACATATTTGCTTCCTCTTCCGCCTTGATTGTAAGTTTTCTTTTTTTTTTTTTTTCTTTTGAGACGGAGTCTCGCTCTGTCGCCCAGGCTGGAGTGCAGTGGCCAGATCTCAGCTC